ACCCACCTTTATTGCCCTGGATACAGGCACAGGTAGAGGAGCTACAGCGATGTGACAGATAATTTCTTTTCATCTGGGCAATAATGTTGGGATTCCAAGCTTGGAGCTCCTCCGTGGACCCCCAGGGATGTGCAAAATCCCCGTAGCGACATGCATTCCCTCCTGTCTGAATTGGCCCCCTCTGGAGGCAGCAGATCCTTGAACAGTGCTACGTCTGGATTCCCTGAAGCTACTCTAGACCAGGGTTTCTGAACCTCAGCGACGGGTGGGCTTCAACTCCCAGGTTTCTGAGAGCTGAAACCCACCCATCTTAAAGCTAACGAAATTCAGAAACCCTGGCCATGGCTCTCACTTAGCGTTTTTCAAGCTTGGTGGCTTTAAAGGGGATGGGCTTCGAGCTGGCCGGGGGATTCTGGGAATTGAAGTCCACCTCTTTTCAAGCGGCCAAGGTTGAGAAACACTGAGCTAGGTCCTTGGTGATGCTAGAGCTGGCAACTGTGACATCTAACTGGCAGAAACTGCTGTCTCTCTCCCCCCCCCTCCCCGTCTATTTTGGGAGTTGTAGCCCATAATCATTGTGATGATAAAAAGCGCTTGTTTAATGATTTTCCTTTCCATTCCGTTCCCCTCGTTCCTTAGTTGGGACATGGTGTCTCGCTGGTAATGCTGTTTGGTTATCATGGATTCTTCCCCGCCAGCTGTCCTGGATTATCCCCAACGTCAGCTCTGCTTCGCAGACCCATAGATCTGTCTTCCTGTTTGTTTCCCCCCCCCCTTCCCTCCCTGGCTGCTAAGGCAAAAAAAAAAAACCCTGCCCTCTGCTTGATTATAATATTAAGGCTCCTCTGCAGGATAACAGATAACAGCTCCTATCTGTTAACTTGCCTGGCAGATAAATATCTCTTGTTCTAAGCAGAATAGAAATCTTCTGGTCGGCCATAAATTCAGTCCAATCACAAGCAAAGGCTGGGGGGGGGGGGGAGCAAGGGAGGATCAGCCAGGAGCCCCTGGAAAAGGGCCAGAAGCAGGGCTGGAGATGCAGCCGAGAGGAACGGAGAAGAGGGCTAAAATTGGAAAAGGTGAGGTTTGGTGCTTTTATTTACCAGAATGCAGAAGAAACTGGTGGTCTGTCTCAGATAAAGGAGGACCCCCTGAGGGCTGGTCTGTGTCGGGGAGGGTCAAGGGTCCTTCAGTCAACTCTCAAATAGCTTCATTGACCGGGGGCCCAAAGTCCAAATCATTGGAAGGGCCACAGATCTTCTGCCCTAGAAGTCACTGACTTCTTTAATGTGGCTTTCCAAATGCCGAGTGTTGCAGACGCTGTTTGGGAAGCTGGCTAATAACAGGCGGAAGGGACACCGGTAGTGTTTATAGCTTCCTTCTTGGGGCTGGCAGATGTGGGAGGGGTGAGCCACTTCCTGCAGTTTGGCCAAAAACTGGAACTCTGCTTTTCTCAAGGTTTCAGGTTCGGTTCTTTTCATACCGCTGGCTCCACAAACTGGTCAGGCAGGAAAGTGTGGCACGCACCCCTCCAGAGCCCACAGTGACCGCCAGGAAAACCAGCAATGCTCCCTTCCAGCAGAAGCCTCAGAATTCCCGCTATGGGTCCGGAGGGTTCCCCCCCTTCCATCCCAGAAAGAGTGAGGGGGCAGCCACCTCGCTCTCGCTTCTCCCTTGTACATTCCCACATGGCTTTTTTTGTACCAGGGACCCCCAGCGGGGCCATTGTGTGGGACTGGCCGGGGCCAAGAGGAGGTGGAACAGACTGATGCTGCTATAGGGCTCATGGCCAGTGGTGGTAATTCAAGCTCCCCCTCCCCACTTCTGAGGCTGGCATTTGCAGCCTTCCTCAGCCCCATTTTCAGGGCCCCTTAGCTGTGCCCAGTCAGTCGCTTCAGCAAACTTGCGGCCAACCTTTTTTATTTTCAGGTATTTAAAGCCAGCTCCTAAAACTCCTATTGGAAAATTGCTCCAGAAAACTTGTCTCTTGGAAGAGGCTGCTTCTCTAGGCGCTGTGCATAAATGCCTGGATAGAAGCAGCTCCATTGTTTCTCCCAAAGCGGCTTTTTGGGCCTTCCTTTGTTGGGGTGGGGACTACGCCTTCCCTCCCCCACTTCTCAATTTTACAAAAAAAGCTTTGCCACGGAGAACAAAAGCTGCTCCTGCCTTCCTGGTCTGATTGGGGTGGCCTATCTGGGCTAGTTCATAAAATAAAAAGGGTTTTTTAAAAAAAAAAAATCAGGAGGGGGTTCATTAAATACGAAAGAGCTGGAGGGGGGATGAGGCTAGTATTTAGGCTGCGAGGGCACTTTCGTTCTTGATGGGTCACTTTCTGGGTGCCCCCCCTCCCCTCCTCCCAAGAGCATGCATTAAGCATGGCAGGCAGTTTTCGCTGGGCCTGAGGAAGCTCTTCTCAAAGAGGGAGCATTTCCTGCCACTGCAGCTGTTGGCCATGAACGCTGGTTGGGGCATCTTTCCCCTGGCTCTGGCCTGCTGGGGTTCCCCAAACCAGGGGGGCATCTGTGGCCCACCCTGTACGATGCAGTTTGACCTTATGGATGTGGATGTGATACGGATTGGCCTGCCTGTCAGGAGCTAAAACAGGAATGTCAACAGTCCCTTTCCTTTCCCTCCCTCCCTCCTCCCCTCCCCTTCTTCCTTCCTTCCTCTCTCCCTCCCTCCTCCATCCCTTCCTTCCTCTCCCTCCTCCCCTTCCTCTCTCCCTCCTCCATCCCTTCCTTCTTTCCTTCCTCTCTCCCTCCTTCCTCCTCTCTTCCCCTTCTTCCTTCCTTCCTCTCCCTCCTCTCCTCCCCTTCTTCCTTCCTTCCTCTCTCCCTCCCTCCTCCATCCCTTCCTTCCTCTCCCCCCTCCCTTCCTCTCTCCCTCCTCCATCCCTTCCTTCTTTCCTTCCTCTCTCCCTCCTCTCTTCCCCTTCTTCCTCTCTCCCTCCTCCCTCCTCTCCTCCCCTTCTTCCTTCCTTCCTTCCTTCCTCTCTCCCTCCCTCCTCCATCCCTTCCTTCCTCTCCCTCCTCTTCCTCTCTCCCTCCTCCATCCCTTCCTTCTTTCCTTCCTCTCCCTCCTCCCTCCTCCCTTCCCTTCTTCCTTCCTTCCTCTCCCTCCTCTCCTCCCCTTCTTCCTTCCTTCCTCTTCCCTCCTCCTCCTCCCTTCCTTCCTCTCCCCTCCCCTTCCTCTCTCCCTCCTCATCCCTTCCTTCTTTCCTCCTCTCTCCCTCCTCCCTCCTTCTTCCCTTCTTCCTTCCTCTCCCTCCTCTCCTCCCTTCTTCCTTCCTTCCTTCCTTCCTCTCTCCCTCCTCCATCCTTCCCTTCTTCTTCCTTCCTTCTCTCTCCCTCCCTCCTCCCTCCTTCCTTCCTCTCCTTCCTCCCCTTCCTCTCTCCCTCCTCCTCCTCTCTTCCCTTCTTCCTTCCTTCCTCTCTCTCTCCCTCCTCCCCTTCCTCTCTCCCTCCTCCATCCCTTCCTTCCTTCCTTCCTCTCTCCTCTCTCCCCTTCTTCCTTCCTTCCTCTCTCCCTCCTCCTCCATCCCCTTCCTTCCTCTCCCTCCTCCTTCTCTCTCCCTCCTCTCTTCCCCTTCCTTCCTTCCTCTCTCTCCTCTCCCTCCTCCCCTTCCTCTCTCCCTCCTCCATCCCTTCCTTCCTTCCTTCCTCTCTCCTCTCCTCCCCTTCTTCCTTCCTTCCTTTCTTCCTTCCTCTCTCTCCTCTCCTCTCCTCCCCTTCTTCCTTCCTTCCTTCCTCTCTCCCTCCTCCCCTTCCTCTCTCCCTCCTTCATCCCTTCCTTCCTTCCTCTCTCCTCTCCTCCCCTTCTTCCTTCCTTCCTTCCTCTCTCCCTCCTCCCCTTCCTCTCTCCCTCCTCCATTCCTTCCTTTCTTCCTTTCTCCCTCCTCTCTCCTGTCCTCGCTCCCTTCTCTTCCATTTCCGAAATGTTGCGGCCGTCCTGGCCTCCATCCAGGAGCTCCCCCAGTGGTTTTCCCCTCTCCCAGCTGCTGCCCTGGAGGAGAGGCTCCGGTTTTACAACTTGCTTTTCCAGTCTCAGATCACGAGAACAACAACAATAAAAACATGCTGCGAATTTGCAACTCGGGTCCTGGGCCATAACTGCCCTGACGTTGCTCAACCTTGGCAGCTTTTAAGGGGTCTGGACTTCAACTCCCCTGAATTCTTTCCATCCCCCAGTGCTGCTTGGACCCCAAATGTTCTGGCGTTGGTACAAGGCCCCCTCCCCTCCCTTCCCCCCTCTCCTCCCCACCTCCCCAGCATCGGTTCAAAAGTACCTTGACTCAGTCTAGATTTGGTTTTCTGGCCTCCCGGACCGCTTTATAAAAATCCCCCTGGAAGCTCCAACCTCCGGCACAGATTTCCCCCCGTTCTTTCCCTCTGTGACGCGCCCAGTTCTCGGCCTTTGGCGGGCATTTCCACGCCACGCGCGTCCCCCCACGCGTGACACCACCAACTCCCCCCAGCAGCCGCCTTCCCACGGCGGGCCCAAGGCAGCCGGGGCTGGCGGGGGAGGAGGCGAGGGGCTCATTTCCAGCAAGGCTCCCCCCGCGGAGCTTGCAGCCGCGCGCGCGCTCGCTCCAGATGTTGGCCGCAGCTGCGCGTCCGGCTCGCCCGGGCTTCCCCACCTCCTCCTCTCCTCCTCCTCCTCCGGCCGCCCCACGTGGCAGCTGCGGAGCTTCCACACACCCCCCCCGTCCGCCCGCAGCTCCGCCTCTGCGCCCTGTTGGCTCCGCTGGCAGCAGCTGGAGGAGGCGGCGGCCGAGGTAGGGGCGGCGTGGGGCCGGTGCCCGGCAGGCAGGGCGCCCCTGGGCACGTGCAGAGCGCTTTGCCTGGCCCCGGGGGCGGGGAAGCGGGCATCTCCGGGCCAAGTGGGGAGCGGGGCGGGGCGGGGCGGGAGGGTCGGCGCGGAGCCCCCTCCTCTCTCGGCGTGGCCCCCCTTGCCAGCCCTTCTCCAGCTCCTGGCCATGGGCTGAGCGCTAAAGCCGGCCCGTTCCGGCTTCGGGAGGCTGCAGCCCAGCTGAGCGAGACCCGGGCAAGCGGTGGCCCCGCTTGGCGTCTCTTGCCCGGTCCCAGCGAAGCTCGTGTGGATGCAGCGCAGCCGGCCAGGCGTGCAACCTCCGGGCAGGTGCCCCGGCATGACGCGGTCACCTTTCCCTGCAGGCTCTTTGGCTTGGCCGGCCTTTGCTTTGAACGCTGCGACTCCCGGCCAAGATCCGGGCAGGGCTGTAATAGGTTCCACAGACACACCCACACGCCCGTTTTCATTTTTATTTTGGGGCTGTCTTGAAAAAGGCATCAAAACTGCCAGCTGATCGGAGGCGGCAGGAGCGGCTTCCTGCTAACGAAAAGGAAAAGTTGGCCAGACCTTTGCAACAAATCCTGGTTTGCTGGCTCGGCTTGGACAAGCAGCCGAGGTCCAGGTGAGATCCAGAGGTGGGGGAGGGAGGGAGGGAGGGAGGGAGGAGGGATTTCCTGGGGGTGGCGACGTTTGCCTTTTGCAACTTGTAGCCAAGCAGGGCGAATGGCATTGGCTGGGCAGCCTTGATTCAGAGCTCTGCTTCCCAGATCTAGGATCTCGTGGACTGGCTGGCTCAGCTGGGTGAATCTTCTCAATTTCCCCCTTGATGTTCTAACGCAGGGTCTCCAACCTTGGCCGCTTTAAGACCTGGCTGAGGAATTCTGGGAGTTGAAGCCCACAAGTCTTAAAGTGGCCAAGGTTGGAGACCCCTTTTCTAACAGGCAGCCTGGATTGGTGCAAAATAATGCAGTAAAATATTGTTTAATTTCTGGTAAATGTCTCTGGAGCTTCCCAATCATCCAGGTCATGGTTGTCCCAAATGTGCTTTTTCAAAAGGCAGCTGGACTTTCTTGCTTTTTTTTTTTTTATCTTGAAAAGGTTTCATTTCTCATCCAATAAACTTCTTCAGTTCTTCTAATTTCTGGTAAGAATGGTGGTGAAGGCAGTGTTACTGTGTAGGAGTGTTTTTTCTTCAATAGATTTCATTTTTCAGGGCATCCAGCTAGGTGGCAGCACTTAGCCAGCCTTGGCTGTGCTTGAAAAGCTCAGAAGACTTAGAAAGGGGACCACTAGGAGATTTACTAAGTAAGTGGAAAGTTTGTGCACCAGCATGCAAACTTTTAAAGCTTGGAAGGAGTTTTTGTTGGCAAGACCCTCTAGCCGAACGGGTTCCTGCCTGCCAAGGAAGGGATTTGTGACTCTCTTGAACAGCTGGGGGAGGTGACAAACAGCTGCTTGGAATTTCTTTCCGGGAGAGGTCCTACTCTGCAGGGCCAGTTGGTACATCTGGAGACTTTCCTCTAAGCTATTCTTCCTTCTCTCTGCAGATATGCTTTTAACTTCTTTGATATATTATCCAGCTGTGCCATTTTGTGCACCACTTTCCCCTGTCTGTGAATCTTTGCAGCTTGGTCTTATTTTCAGCCCTATCTTGAGAAAAAAAATCAGCAAAGCTCAGGTCAATCCCTCCCCACCATTCCTTTCTGGTTGATGGAATCTAACCTCTAACCCAGGTCTTGTGACTTCCACTTGTAAAGACTTTCACAATCTCATCTAGCTGTGAGTTTCACACATGTTACTCAGATCCTACCTGTGCCCAAATCCGCAGCCGCTGAACCCTTGGATTTGTGGTTGAGGTCTTGCAAAGAGAACACGCTCCTCTTCAGAAAGGCAGTGTCCCTATTTGACCAACATGGTTTAAGGGCAAAACTCTGGGTGTTTTTTTTTTAATCATTAAATCCAGTCAGTTTCACGGAGATCAAATGAGACAATTGCTTTCCTCCTCTTGCTCATTCCTCCTGGAGAACAACTTTTTATTAACCTCCACCTATTTGCAGAAGAGGGAAGTTGTAAAATACACAGTGCAGCGTTTTAAGAAAGTCAACAAGCTGGATTCTTGGTTTACTTTTTGGCCTCCAGAGGTGAAAGGGATGTACCACAAAACCTGTGTAGTTTTGGAACCGAATCAGTTGGGCTCAGTCACAACTGCAGGCTGAGCACGGCTGAGAAAAAACAGGGGACAAAACGTGTGATTTTGCTGGAAGAGTTCTGGTGCGTTGCTAAGGGTTGTGGGTTTAAGCGTGAAGCAATACAGTCCCTGCCTTTCCCCAACAAGGAAATGCCGATACTTTTTTTCAAAAATTTCACAGCTTCCCAGAATGAAACCATTTCTAAGTGATCTCGGGAAGGGCAGGGCCATCAGTTCAGCTTCTTGTGGCTATTCTTGCCCTCTCGATTGTGCTCACACAGGCAGGTTTAGTACAGGCAGTCCTCAACTTACAACAGCTCATTTAGTGACAGAGTGACATTCATTTAGTGTGAAGTTACAACAGCACTGAAAAAAGTGACTTTTTATTTTCACATGACCGTTACAACATTCACATGGTCAGAATTTACTGATGACCACAACTGAGCCCAAAATTTATGTTAAGTGTGACATTTGTTAAGTGAGTTTTGCCTCATTTTATGACATTTCTTGCCGTGGTTGTTAAGTGAATCAATGCGGTTGATAAGTTAGGACCTTGGTTGTTAAGTGAATCTGGCTTCCCCATTGAGTTTGCTCGTCAGAAGGTCACAAGGGGATCACATCACCCCGGGACACTGCAACCGTCATAAATATGAATCAGTTGCCAAGTGTCTGAATTTTGATCACGTGACCATGGGGATGCTGCAATGGTCGTAAGTGTGAAACACAGTTATAAGTCATTTTTTTCAGTGTCGTAACTTTGAACACTCACTCAGTGACCTGTTGTAAGTCAAGGACTTACACTGTATAAATTGAACAACTCAATAAAATAAACCCATTCTTATTAACAAACATAATTAGGTAATTTTCAAAGCTGGAAGTGATGGGGAAGAATTGCAGTTTATTTGAGTTGTCCTCTGTCCGGGGTGATTAAATGCACGGAACGGACACACGTGAGGAGAACTGAACCCTTTTCAAAGCAAAACTAAACTGTCTTTTAATGCTTGATGCCATGAACGCAACTCGATAACATCTCTAATTTCAGAATGTCCTCCAATAAGCCAATAGGCCAAAGGAAATCATGTCATGGATTAGCAAAGCCTGATGTAAACCAAAAGGCCCTGAGCAGCCCAGAGCACGAAGCTGTGATGCGTGTCACCAAAAGCAAGGTTGTGCTATTTTAAAAATAAGTTACACGACTGCCAGATCTCTTGTCTTGCTAGAATTGGCTTTTCCGAATCCCTAAAATCGGAAATTCAAAGAAGCATTTGCAATGCGAATGGCCTGGTGCGCTGGCCATTTGCGTCATCCTCAACCAGAGACCACTGGTGATGTCACTTAATTAAAGCAGCCAGATCTTTAATTTGGCAAATGATGCCGGAAGAAGGAAGAGCTCAAGCATCCTCCTTTTCTTAGCTTTTCCCCGTGAAATGCTTTTTCCTGCACAGAGCAAAGCGGCAGTTTCAGGAGGCCAGAAAGCTGACAACACACACACACAAATACACACACACACACACACACACACACACACACACTGGGAACCTAGGAGCCCGCCCTGCTGCTTTCAGTGCGCTGGCTTGTTCCGCCTTTTAACTCTGCCCTCGGGCGCCCTGTGCGCTGCCCCCGTTTTCTCCAAGCCTGCGCCAAGCGCCTCTTCCCCAGCGAAAAGGGAAAAAAACAAAGTGGCAGGCTGCAATTGTGTGTTGTGTAACCATTGGGTAATTCAGTTACCAGGCCAACATTTCCACCAGTGGCAGGGATGCTAGTCAGACCCCCTGACAGCCTCCTTGCTCGTCCTTTCTGAAACAGCGGGAGGGCTGGAACTCCTCGGCTGTGGCTTTCCGGGGCTAAGAGGTCAAAGAAAAGCTCTTTAAAGCAGAGGTTCCTCCACTGGCAGCGATAACGGAATTAAGCTCTTTGGAAAGCTCTTATCGTCCGCCTCCTCAGGCAGAGGAGGAGGAAAGGGTGGGGTGCCCGGAAAAAGAGCATTGGGACAAAAATTGGAAGGGCAGCCAAGTCCAGCCACGGTTGTGCGGTTGCAAAGGTGTGTTAGGAGCTTAGCCAGGTCTCAATGTTCCTGGCGGAGCTCTGAGCAGTTTGGAAACTTGTCGAACCGCTTTGATTGATAGTTTGAGAAATCCTTGGTTTAAGACTGGAATTGAGCCTGGAATTACGGTCATAAATTGAGCCAGTCGTGCTGGTTGTTAAGTGAATCAGCAGTGGATTGCGGCCAATTTTACAGGCTTTTTTTTTTTTTTTTTTTTTGCAACAGTCAAGTTCTTGGAAAACCAAAATTCAGTTCAGGGCAGTTCAGCAAAACCACTTTAGTCTCACCTGCTGTAGTTCCTCATCCGAGGAGATGCAAAGGGGAACAATTCTATCGCCCATTTTGCTTAGCTGGTGACATGGTCATGCCTGAATGGAGCTTGCGAAAGTCCCCGGTGAGCTGGCGAAGAAATATTTAATGCTTGACAGCTTATCCTTGTGCGAGCCTTGCCTTGTCTTGCCTTGCCCTTCTGGAGAAACCATGTGCTTTGCAGCTCACACCTGCCCAAGGAGCTCAGGTACCAGAGGAATGTGGGATGGTCTTGTGACAGGTGTCAAAAAGGATTCAGCCTGGCCAAGTGCGGCATCATTAGCTAATAAAAAGTTAATCTTTAAAGTGCCAGGATATTAAAGTCGTCCCTTTTGTTTTAACTGCTCCTGCCTTCTGGCAGCTCTGCACATGCGCGCACTCTTCCTGTTCCTCTGCCTCCCTGCTGTCCGACTCTGGAGGCTCCGGAGTCTGTGCATAACTCCCAGATGGCCCTGGCCCCCTCTCTGCCTCCGACGCAGAGCCCTTGTCTGGGCCTTCCCCAGACTCCAGGACTCGCCCATTGTCCTCCCCAGCCTCCTCACTGTCCGACTCAGCTGCTAGCTCCACGGGCTGCTGACGGACCACGACATCTATTCTGATTGATTGAGATGCTCCCCAAGTCCTCTGCTTGCAGAATTCTGGGAGCTGACGTCCACAGGTTGTAAAGGGGCCATAGTTGCTGGCCTACGCCCTGCCTTCTGAATGAAGAAAAAAACATGCTTCCAAGCTGGAAGCAACCCAAAATTCGGGTCTGTCCAAGACAGGATGAATAAGAGCTGGGTTAGCTTTCATCAGGCCCGGCTGAAATGAAGTTAGAGCCCGACTGGCTGGCTGTTCATTTCCTGCCTCGTTGCAAGTAATTATTTTTACTGGCTTAGAAAGCTGGTGGAGCAACAGAGGGAGAGAACTGGCAGTTGCTTCCTTCGCTTTCTTCCTCCTACCACCGCTATTTCGCTGATTTCCCAAAGGAAGCCCAAAAGTGATGAATGCAGAGAACTGACAGCTAAACATCATCACACACTACATATGGGTGTGATTGAGCCAGATTTCTCTCATTTTTTGGAGAAAGGAGCAGCGGAGA